GTAGGATAATAACTTGGGCAGTTCAAGGGAATCAAATAATATTTGAAAATATAAACATGTGGGGAAGACTATATTTTATTGGCATAATTTGTGTGTTGGAAATCTAAGGATAGGGACTTTATTGAAATAAGTGAATTTGAGTAGATAACAATTAGGGGAAAGTAGAATTGATTTGAAAAATCTGTGGATTAGATTTTAGATTGGGAAAATAGATCTAGATGAAAAGAAAGCAAAGAAAGTTATGCATAGAAAGAGGAGGAGGAGGAAGGGAGAGAGTCAGGGAGGAGATGTGGGTGTGTGTGGAATAAAAAGAATGGAAGAATGAAATGGGATAATCTTACAACTCCTGACAGTTTCCACAGTTGTTAATAAAGACATACAACTGAAGAGAAGCAGAGAGAAAGGAATGATTCCCTACCAAATGGTTTTTTTAAATAGTGCACATAATAAATTGTTAAACTATTTGCCTTTTTCTGTATCTTTATTTCAAAGCACAATCATTGAGATGACAGTTTAAACAGATTATTTTATTTAGGAAACTGCACTAAAATAATACATATGCATTTCATAGTTTTCATGTTCAAATAAGGTTCCTAGGTTCCTTCAACTGAGAAATCTATGATTAACTGCCAGTTAGAGTAAGAATACTGACCTAAGTGAATCATTTGTCCATTGTTCTATATTTTTCATGGTGAGAATATAACTATTTAATCTACTGTTGGAGTAAAAACTAATGATTGTATGTGCTTCATTAGTAAAGTATTGGCTGGTGATCGCAGCCAAACAGTAGCAGCAGAGCAGTACAATACAATACTGGAATTAAGATGTCTGAGAGAACAATCAGTCAAACAATGATTTAAAAGAATTGTATGCTTTTTATAGGGATAATGTATCAGGAAACAGCCATAGTTCAGTGAATATTCAAGTCACATAGTTAATCCCTGGCATCTCCAAAATGTTTTTTTTTTTTTTAATGCAAACTTGTAATGGTGCTGCTGATCAGTGTAGGCATCCAACTGAAACCTGGTTCCTTCCCAATATGGGGATTTCCAATATAACTATGTAGGAAATTTGAGAACTACAGTACTTCCATATTTGTAGAACACCAGTTGAAGAAAGACGATATGCAGTACATTTATTTATTTATTTATTTATTTATTTATTTATTTATTTATTTATTTATTTATTTATTTATTTATTTATTTATTTATGTATGTATTTATTTATTTATTTATTATTTATTTATTTATTTATTTATTTATTTATTTATTTATTTATTTAAAATTTATATACTGCCCTTCTCCCTGAGGACTCAAAGCAGTGTACAGCCAGAATTAAAAAACATAAAATACAAATATTAAAAAACAATTAAAATATATATAAATTTGGCCCAAAATTAAAAATACAAACCAATTAAAACATTTAAAATTTCTTCTTAAGCCAGCCCGGCTTGCTGGAAAAAGTGGGTTTTAAGGGCACGGCAGAAGGCACTAAGGTCTTGGATTCTCCTTATCTCTGGGGGCAACTGATTCCAGAGGGTAGGTTCCCCCACAGAGAAGGCCCTCCCCCTGGGGTCACCAGCCTACATTGATTGGCTGATGGCACCCTGAGGAGGCTCTCTCTGTGGGAGCGCACAGGACGATGGGAGGTCGTCGGTAGCAGCAGGCGGTCTCGAAGATAGCTAGGCCCGATGCCATGGAGCGCTTTAAAGGTGATAACCAGCACCTTGAAGTGCACCTGGAAGACCACTGGGAGCCAGTACAGCTCGCGCAGGAGCGGTGTTACATGGGAGCACCATGCTGCTCCCGTCACTACCCGCGCTGCTGCATTCTGGACCAGTTTGAGCCTCCTGGTGCATACAGAAGTAGGAAAATCAATGTATGTACCCATATGAGGTAGTATCCTGTATTTCAGGAAGTAGAGCAGCAAAGAGAACTCCCTGAAAAAAATCCAAGTGTACAGTATCTAGATTAATTTAATTTACCATGAGGTCAACATTTGATCCAACCAAAGGAATTCCAGAGAAGATATCTCTTAAGGAAGACCAAAAGAGGACAGATTCATACATTGTTACCAGAGGTGGTTTCAGCAGGTTCTGAACAGTTCTGGAGAACCGTTAGCAGAAATTTTGAGTAGTCAGAGAACCGGTAGTAAAAATTCTGACTGGCCCCACTCCATCTATTCTCTGCCTCCCAAGTCCCAGTTGATCAGGAGGATTTTGCAGTAACCTTCCCCTGGAATGGGGTGGAAATGGAGATTTTACAGTATCCTTCCCCAGCCATGCCCAGCAAGCCATGCCCATCAAACCATGCCACACCCACTAAATCACACCCACAGAACCGGTAGTAAAAAATTTTGAAACCCACCACTAATTGTTACCTGTTGGTGTTGATCATTTTCTTTTCTTTTCTTTTTTTTATAAAGTTTTTATTAATAAAAGATATACAAAAAAACATAAATACATTAAGATAGCATACAAAACAAACAAACATCAATTCAGTCTTATGACTGACTTTTAAAGTTATCACATCCATGGGTTATTTTTCTATTCTTCTTATCTTTCTCTATTCGTATCTATATCTATATTTACATATTTACATATTTGCATATAGAACATTATAGTTCACTCTTTATTTAATTCTATACATTTCCTATTAAATAGTCAAAAATTATTTTTATATTCCTATTTTCCCCTCCAGCCAGCTGTACCATCTTTGCCACACTAAATAGTAATCAGTATCGTCTTTCTCTTGTAATTCCTTTGTGAGCCTGTCCATTTTTGCACATTCTGTAATTTTTGCAATTATTTTATCTTCTGTCGGTAACTGCTCAGATTTCCAATTTTGGCCAAAGAGTATGCGTGCTGCTGTAAGGATATGAATAATCAGATATTTTATTTCTTTGGTATATTGTACTGTGATTATTCCCAATAGAAAAATTTCCGGCCTCATTTCCAACTTTTGTTTTGTAATTTCTTCAATCATTTTCTTAATTTCTTGCCAGCATTGTTTTGCCTTTTGGCATGACCACCAGAGATGATAGTATGTCCCTTTCCGTGATTAACATTTCCAACACATTGGAGACATATTTGGGAACATCTTGGCCAAACGCGCCGGTGGGACGTGCCATCGGTAGAACATTTTGTAAAGGTTTTCCTTATAGGGTATAGACATTGTCATCTTATAATTTATCTTCCACAATTTTTCCCAGTTATCCAATTCAATGTTATATCCTATGTTTTTGCCCTAAATTATCATGTTTTCTTTAACCACTTCCTCTTCTAATTTGTATTCTATTAGATACCTATAAACTTTGGTTATCATTTTCCCATCTCTACTTTGTAATATTTTATCTAATTCATTTGGTTCATTTTGGAATCCGAATTGTGCCCGATCTGTTTTATGTCTTGATTCTATTTGCAAATATGGCCACCAATCAATGTCTATACCCTGATTTTTTAATTCTTGTCTTGTTTGTAACTCTCCTTCATTATTCAATAATTCTTTATAACTTCTCATTTTCTCTATGTCCATGGCATTGGGGTAAATCAGTGCTTCCACAGTCGATAGCCATAGTGGAATTTTGATGTGGTGCTTTCTAATCTCTTGCCATGTTTTGTACAGTGATCTTCTGATAATATGTTGTTGGAAGTATCCATGTTGTTTGTCCTTTCCCTCCCACAGGAAAGCGTGCCAGTCGCGTTGTAGTTCAAATCCCTCTAGGAGTAGCGTTCTTTTATTCTTGAGGTCTATCCAGTCCCTTATCCAATTTAAAGATGCTGCTTTGTAGTATAACTCCCAGTCCAATAGGCCTAATCCTCCCTTTTTCCGGGTATCTTGCAAACACTTTATTTTAATTCTGGCCTTTTTACCGTTCCAAATGTATTTTGTTATTATTTTATTAAGGTCCTTAAAGAAATCCTTTCCTGGCCAAATTGGAGTTACTTGGAAAAGGTAGAGTAATCTAGGTAGTATGTTCATTTTTATAGATGTGATTTTCCCCAAGAATGACAGTTGTAGTTTATTCCATGTTTCCAAATCCTTTCTAATTTGTTTCATTAGTTTGTTATAGTTGTCTTCTCTAATTGTTGTTGCTTTAGTGGTGAGCCAGATTCCTAGATACTTTACTTTCTTTACAATTTGTATTCTAGTTTGTCTTCTAATTTTGTCTCCTGTACCTTTGTCAAATTCTTTGTTAATGCTTTAGTTTTTTGTTTATTGATTTTGAGCCCCGCCACTCTTCCATATTCCTCTATCTTCGCTAAAAGTTTGATTCCTGTTATTTCCGGTTGCTCCAATATAAATACCACATCGTCAGCAAAGGCTTGTAATTTATATTCTTCTTGGTGTTGATCATTTTCATTTCTTTTGATTAATTTGGTACTGGATAACCAGCAGGAGATAACCAGCAGAAGAACCAGTTTGGTGTACTGGTTAAGGCATTGGGCTATAAATTGGGAAATTGTGAATTCTAGTCCTGCCTTAGACACAAAGCCAGCTGGTGACTCTGGGCTAGTCATTTTCTCTCAGCCCTTGGAAGGACACAATGGCAAAAACTTTTATCAATTTATTGGAAGCATGGCTCAGTTTAGAATTAATCCCACAAGTACAGCCTTTGACAATAAAAGTGCAGTCCTAATGCATTAATTAAGAATTGTTATACTTTCATAACATCCAAGTAGAACTAAAATGGCACCTCACTCTTTCTAAATTGCCTCTATAGACACAAATTGCCTTTGTAGACACACAAGGTAAAAGGATTGATTTCCAAGGGACAATTATATAATTTTAAATTCAACATTTAATGACCTTTCAGAATGGCTCCATATCTTTAGATGGTAAGGTCTATTATTCATTCATGTAACCAACTGGGAAGCTACTCCCAGTTGTTTTTCCAGTCACTTGTTTCAATATAACTGAAGGACGCTGGTTTGGGAAAACTGTTGGTAAAACAGTCCTGCCAGATTATGAAGAAAGAAGAATGTTCTGGTGATTCTATAACTGAAACCTTGGATTTGTGCCCTACAGTCCTACCCTATTGCTTATGGTGAGTTGTAGGCCTAACTCTTCAAGTCCTCATTATAAATTCAGACTTATCTGTAATAAAGCCCCAATTATGGGATCAATTCCCCAGGGAAAATTTCTGTTTTAGTCCTCTTCTGTCTTAAATCCAAATGGTTTCTATTTTCTCATTTTGGGAGCTGAGGGAAAAACAATGATTAATGCAATTTCCTTTTTTTTTTAATAGACAAGTTTTATTGAAAAAAATTTCTTTTCATCATACATATTTTATGAACAGAGTGCTGACCAGATCACCTCTCATACATCTTATATATAATCCAAATCATCATTATAATATATCTTAATCTTCTCATTTTTTCCATTATTTATCTCTTTTATACATCCTTTATCACAAATTTATCATTTTTTCTCCATCTCTACTTATTTCAACTTCTGTCATATTATCTTCTTTCCGTCATTTTTTATCCTGTTCAATTTTATTTTTAAATAACATCACTTTACGCCTTATGCTTCTTCTCTATTACAATCACTCCAGTTGTTTACATTCTACGTCCATTTCCGGAAATGTCTTTCTAATTTCCTGCCCAATCATAAGCAATAAAATATTCATCTCAATTTACATTGTTATCAAAATTAATAATATTCTTATATTACTTATTTTCACTTTTCCATCTGCTGTGGTTTATCACAAACATGTTCTATTCCTTTTTTGCATAAATAGTCACTTTCATGATTTCAGCCTTGTTTTTATCTTTACAATTAACATTTTTTGCATTAATATCAAAATTAATAATATTGTCAAATTACTTATGTTCACATTTCTATCTATTGAGATTTGCTGTAGACAAACTCTATTCATTCCTTTTTAACATATATTCACTTATAATCCTTTTCCACCATATCTTTTTTCCACTGCTACCATATTATTCTTACATATTTGCTAATATCACAAGGTATCCTAAAGTTCTTCTCTTTTACCACTACTATACCAATTAAAATTCCATTCTAATTTTAAAAACTAACAAAAATATTATTATTACTGTATATTTTCTACTTTCCCCTTCCCATCTATTTATCTATCTCATTTATATTTGCCTATTTTTGCCCCATCATTCTTCATCTTTAATCAACATCTCTATATCTTTTTAGCATCTTCTTTTCTAATAATTTTTTGCATGACCTTTTATTCTCGCTCTACCTTCTCAATTCTCTTTTTTATTTTTTTAATATATCTTACAATTCATTTTCTGACTTCCATTTCTCTTTTTTTGTTGTGTTGTTTGAACCTTCCTCCTCAAAGCTTTCCCTTGTCTCTTCCAGATTTTCCCCTTCTTTCCTTATGCCTGTTTCTTTTTAGGAGTTTTCCTCCTTTCCTCTCTCCTGTTTTTACATTCCCAACTATTTCTATAATGCTCTCAATCTGATTTCTATTTTTTAATATTTTCTCTTCACCATTATTAGTTTCTTGTTTCTCATTCAAATTTCCCTCTTCCAGCTTCTCTTCATTTTCTTTTTCTATATATTTAAATGGATTTTCCATTTCATATTGGCCTATTAGAGATTTATGCATGCTTTTGAGCATCGAAAGTAACTCTTCATACATCTTCAACTCCATTTTAAAACAATTTAATACCTCTCCCAAATATATCTCTATTCACTTAGTCAAAATTTTAAGTCTATATAATTTTCTTATTTCTCCTCTTCTTTTCTTCTTTTTTGCTTCAATTATTCCTTTATTCTTTACAGTTAAAATGTTCTTCCCAATTGTTATTTATTATCCCAATGCAGCAACAGTCAAATCCAAATATGAGACTATCTTCCAGTAGAGAAGGAAAATAAAACAACCACCCAGATGTAAAACACTGTCAGTCCTCAATTTTTCACACAGTATCCAATTCTATACAGCCAAGGTTGAAATTTCCAGCTGCTATTTCTTCTGTTTTGTCTATTTGAATAGAATATTACAAAGCTTTTTTCTTTCCTCCAGCAGATGGCACTCTCCGTTTCTACTCCGTTACAAAGCAGACTTATCCATTTATTTGTCAAAATGTCCAATAATTTTTTCAAAGTTCTCTTATCAATTATTATTTTCTTCCAAAAATCATATTCTTTCCTTTTAACAGTCTTTGCTTTTCCCAATTTTGCAAATCCAAAAACTCTCTTACCTTCCTTATATCACAATCCATGCCTTCTCTTTGTTCCATGTGTGTGTGTGTTTTTTTCCCCTAAGAGCCCAGTAGCCACTAGTCCAAGCTCGGCAAAGCTTTAAAACTTCAATTTCCACTTTTTAAATATTAGTTGGCATTTATCTCACCCAGTTCTGGTACTCCATCAAATCGCCACTCCTGCACAATTCTTCAGTCCGGTTGTCCCAGCTTCAAGACGGGCACCATAAGATGGCCGCCATCCCCGCTGACACTTCAGGAGAGCTGTTTCTGTTCCAGTGAGGAAATTGCCAATTCCTTGCAGTCCACGAAATGCTTCTCCTTTCTTCACCACCCTCCAAGATGGCTATGGCTCGAAAGCCTTCCGGTAGTGGTTCATCAGACTGGGTTTTGCTGGGCTTATTAGAACACGCTATTTTCCAGTCCGTTCCCATTGCAACATCAATCAGAAGTCTGATTAATGCAATTTCTATTGCTCTTTTGATTTTACAGTTATATCACTTTCTTGTTCTGCATGTTTTATTCTCTTAAAAATATCATTTTCATGATATTTTCATGGATTTTCCCTTCTAAGGCTGCACTACCTACAGTGTCCATTTAGCTGGAATAAATAAGTTTAATAGAAATTAGACAAATTCACTGATAAATAGATATGTAAAGAAGCAACTGTACTGGTTTTCTTATATAATGTAAATCATTCTGTATGTAAGATAAAATACTGTTTAAAGTTTAAAGAAGTTTAGGACAGAAATCTCTACAAAGAGAGAAGGAATGCCTTCCTTGGATCTATTTTTGCTCTCTATCCTTAGCTGAAGTCATAATCAAAGAACACCAGAGAGATCAGCCAGGTCAAAGATTTTCCTTCACTTGTTGACACTTAGAGAGAACTACTGTGGACCAATCAAAACTATTGAAACATTAGGCTGTTTGTGCATGCACTTTTGTCCTTTAAAGACCAGTTTTAATTGGATACTCTTATAGTTGAAGGACAGTGAAAATGAGGATGGAAAGAAGATAATTTTTGCTTCATAATCAAAATGGTATCTAGCCAAAGGTATCTGGCCAAACCTCAAGCATCAGTAGTGGTTTTCACTTACCTTCACTACCAGTTCAGAACTGTGAGCGCGCGTGCGGCGCTTCTGCACATGCACAGAACCTTCTGCACATGCGTAGAGCATCTGTGATGACATCCAGATGAGTGGGCAGAGCCTCCCCCACCTCTGCTACTGGTTCGCCTGAAACGGGACGAACCGGTAGAAACCGACCACTGTCAGGCATATGCTATGCGTAAGACTGCTAAAGTTTTTATTTATTTTTAATTTGCTGTGACAAGAAGTTTCTACAATTCAGTCTTTTCTTCTTTTGGTAGTATCTATTTTGAATAGGTGTCTGTCCCCCACACCTGTCTTGTTTTATAGCTGAATAAATGTAATCATTTCTTTAAACTTACCATTTACCATTTGCTATCTTTCTTTGAATTTCTGCTTTATCTTTTTCTCATTAAAGATTTATGAATTAGATTTCCCACAGATTACTGCTTATTATTTAATAGTATATCACTGTACATCACTAGATTCAAATAATATTTAATATATTGTACCATTTTTTTTATTAATTTCATTTTTATTTTTGAACTTCTACAATGCACACTAGCAAGCCATCTCGGGGTTGCCATTCAGGGCTGCAGGGAAGTGACTGGGAGTTGCGCTGATCAGCTGGGAGGCGGCAAATGGCTCGGCCTCACTGATCAGCTGGGAGGCCAATGGTGAATGGATCAGCTGGGCGTTGGAGCTGATCATCTGGAAGTGAAGCAGCAATCAGATGCAGCGCAGAGAGCAGACCAGCAGCTGAGTGTTGGCCTAGACGCAGCCAAAGATTCTAGGCTGTTTGTGGTATCCAGAAGCCAAGGGAGTGGACTAGGCGTGTGCAAGGGGATTTAAGACGTGGATAACACTGACTTTGTTTGTATGTCACTCAGTACTAGGTTTCCAAGTTTTCCGGGATAAAACACTTCACACTAAAACTGTGTGATTTGCAGTTTCTTAGTGCTGGATACATGGAACGTGACACATCTATTGAAATAATTCATAATGTTGAGCTCTCAACAAAATTTTGGTTTTGGGGATCCCACTTTATATTAGGTTAGAAGTTGCCTATCCCAAATACTGTATGTGCTCTATGTTTAGCTGTATGGATTCATGCAGAGGCAAGATTAGGTAGTAACAACTAACTGACTAGTTTGATCTAAAAAAAAAAGGAGAGATTGAAACTATTAGTACTTGATAGGAGAGTACCTTGAAAGATAGACTGGAAGTCTACAGAAATGAAAGAAGACAAGAGCAAATATAATATATAATTCATGAAGTCATCAGGAGTTGACTATGACTAAAAGAGTTTACTTTTAAAAGTGATAATGATAAAGGTATCTCACAGAAAGCTCTTGTTTTATAAATTACTTAATCTGCTAAACAATACTAATGTAATAACTAACATTTCTTAAATAGTATTAATCAATAGGAACAGGCAAATGTTTGTTTTATATAATTTATAATTTATCATTTGTTCATTTCAATTACAGGTTTTCATAGAGATATTTTTAAATATTGGTAAATAACTGATTCAATTTATTTATAAAATATAATAGGAATTATTCCAAATTTGGAAGCTTTCTATGGCATAATATAATTCTAATTATATAATTCTAATTTATTTATTTATTTATTTATTTATTTATTTATTTATATAATTACATTATTTTTCTAAGAATCTCTCCCTCTCTCTTCCTCTCACCTCCCCACCCCCATACATGCACTCCTTTCCAAATTTTAGTTTATTCTGATTCTGTGTAACATTCTCATCCTTTGATTTTACAGGAATTTGGTGCAGAATACAAACATTGCCCACACTTTCACAGGTAAGAGAGTTACAAAACTCTGATTTTTCAGAGGTAGATAAATTCCTCACATATATTTCTATAACTCTACATCAGAGTATCTAGAGTGTCCCATAACTTTTTGCTGTGGCAATTCAGTCTTGTTAGACTTAAGGACTTTAATCAAAAACACGTCAAAAATAGCAGCAGCTGGCCCACAATTTTCTGGGAAGGTTTTATTAGGTTATTTGTTCCACTTCAAAGCTTTCATGTGTCCTGCATATGTATTCTTCATAAAGCAAACATATAAAGTCATATGGAGAACAGTAAAGCACAATACTTTAAAGTGTTACATTATATGCTTTATTAGCATAGTTAACTATAGGTTTCAAAGCACTACAATGAGAAGAAATGTTATTGTGATACCTTGACATTTTTTTTTTAAATTTGATTTATATGCCGCCCTTCTCCAGAGACTCAGGGCGGCTTACAATGTGCTCAGTAATAGCCTTCATCCTTTTGTATATTTATACAAAGTCAGCTTATTGCCCCCACAACTGGGTCCTCAATTTACCTACCTTAGAAAGGATGGAAAGCTGAGTCAACCTTGAGCCTTGGCAAGATTCGAACCTGCAGTAATTGCAGGCAGCTGGTCTTAATAACCAGCTTAATAACAGGGTGCCTTAGACCACTGTACTACCAAGGCTCACCTTCATTTACACCTTGGCAATCTCTGTAAGAAATAAGTGGGATTCCAAAGGTATCATATAGCTCAAATTTATCTTATACTGTCCTTATCTCTACCCCTGTTCTTTTTATTCATTTGCTCAATAAGTCCTCTATGCACATAGATACTAGCACCAATACAACTGGATACGATGGAAAAGGTTGCTAAAATAGAGGCAGGATTCTGATAATTCTGAAATGAGCTTGAATAAACCTATATTTTATTCCATGTATAACTATTAAAATTTGTATAAACTACTCATTAGAATTTGTATATTTTAGGAGAAATAGATTAGAAATACGTTTGTAAACCAGTTTCTGAAATACTTTCTTTTTATCAAATTTTTGGCAGGAACTGGATTTATTAATTTTAAAAAATCTAATCTGATATATGGATAAAGTGATAATAGTGTTAGAGTCTCTAGGAAAATTGGGCTTTTCCAGGTATTGGGTGTCTATTTTAAAATGACAGGAAGCAGTATCATCAATTTTGAGCATTTGTGGTCTGAAAGGACAATTTGTGGTTTTGGTAATATGTGTAGAAAGATGGTTTGAAGGCTGCTTGCAATCTTGTGGCTTCAGGTTACCCACCTTAACACACTATATTCCTGTAAAAATATGATAATGATACATGGCATTAATTTAAATCCATCCTTGTGTCATAATTCTCGAACAGGGTTTAAGAGAATTAAGGACTCTTATTTCTTTTAAATCTGAGTTAACATAAAGAGTTATGAATAACAATATTCTATAACAATATCTGTTGCCCTCGGTACCTGTTTCTGCCAAATATGAGAAAAATCATCCTTGGAAAGTCACAGAAAGGATATGGTGAAGATAGTCATTGTGGGCTGAGGCTTTACTGGATTGTATGACTGCTGCTCAGTCAATAGTATGATGCCTTTCCCAACTTTGAAATACATTGATGTAAGTCTAATAATACTTTAGTAGTTTCATTCCCATTTTCTTATATTTGTCCTACACTGTATTATTTTTATTACTGCTAACACATTTTCTTTCTATTGTTTAGACAATTAGTATTGTTTTTAATACTGCACATTTCTTTCTTTATTCCTCTCTCTTCCTCTGCAGATAGACATATATACTCAACACGGTGACAGCATAACAATTAAAATACCTTAAGCTTTTTTAGTCTGTGTAAAATGCGAGAGACTGCTGTAGCTAAGTATCTAGCAATTTATACAAACTACATGTTAAACCTGCTAGTTAGAGATGAAAGTCATATTTTGATTTTAACTGACCTAGTTAAGTTTCTTTGCTTATGGATGAGTCTTAATGCAGAATGTAATATCTATGCTGGCCATATAAAATTAGATCAATTCAATTAGACTATGCAGAAATACTATACCCCACAATTCTGTTAAATGAATGTTGTCATTCAAACAAGAAAAAAAAAGAAGAGAAACTACATTTATATTTTGAAACTGAAAATTTCAGTTGCATCTTCTATTTAAACATATAGTTAATCATGTCAGAACTAGTCTACCTATATGGCAGAAAGTCATATGGCACTGACTAAAGTATTTTAGTCAGGGATATTTTATATTGTTTATATGTATACAGATACATATATTTATGTATTTCATTGCTCATCTGACTATCATTTGTTTTTAATTTTTACATTCACTTTACCTAATAGTCAGTTATTAAAAAGGTCACCCTGTCTAGAAATATACATAGAGATTAAAAAAATACAAATTAAATTTAAGTTTGCTGAGTCTGAATGCTAACTTGGGAATACTTGCTTGATTTATACTGAGAAATATTGAAAGTGTCATTTTAGTTTGCGTTCAGATAATCTTTGTGTTCAGATAATTCATGGAATCTGATACCAGTTATAAGAAACAGGCAAAAGAGAACCTAAATCCTTTTGCATAGTATTTTATAGTGCCAGATTTTCAGAGTTTAAAGAGCTATATCTTCATGAATTTCTTGTGTTATGATGTATGAAACTATTACTTAATAGTTTTTATCTAAATTTTGATTATAATGGCCACTAAAATAGCAGCAAAACACTTCCAATGAATGTCCTGTCGCTAAAAGCAGTGGGAGATGGGGAATCAGGATCTTGCTTACTGATGCTATGAACTTCACTTGACAAACCTTCCATGCCGAATGTGTTTTCCATTTGCTATATAGGAATTTATTTGTCCATGCCAAAATTCAGGTGTGCCAGCTCTTTATAATAAGCCATTTGGATGAAAGCATGGCTGGCTCAAAGGATTTTGATGTATTTTATTGCTGCCTTTTAAGCTCATCGTTCAGAAATACCAAGTCTAATTTTGAAATCAATTAGCCATGAAGCCTGATGAGGTGTTGGCCCAGCTCAAGTTCACAACTGCTGTCTATAGATTATTGTTGAGTCAGGTCCCTAGAGCAGATCTGTTTGCAGGCATCTGGTGGACACATGTCTGATCTCCTCTTAGAATTCTACTGATGGTTTAAATAGCAAACCATAATGAGGAAAGCTTAGAGAGCATTCTGAGGCTTGCCAGAAAACTATGCTTTTTACGATTCTCCTTAACTTTTTAATCACTAAGGAATACTGTTGAGGCAGATGTAAACAGGATGAAATCTAATGGCTCACTATCAGCAGATCAAAGAGAGTACACTGGAAATTTCTGGAAAGGATCCCTTGGAAGGTAACAATAGGGCTGAAAATGGCCATATATTTATCTATATATGACCAGATCCAGTCATTTTCCTGCTTCTCCTTACATACTATTATGTTTTGTTGTATTCTGTTTTTGAAATATTTTCATGGCAGAAAGACGAGGACATGCAGGTAGAGTCCTAAGCTGCTTTACATAATTTCTGCCCAACATTCCATGGGATTGGAATGAATAGAGTCTGAACTGAGAAGGGCCAGACAAGCCAAATTTAGTTAAAATTGTCAAATAACAATGGTGAGAATAAGCAAGAATTTTGTAGTGATGCCAAAGTGAAGCCTGAGAAAATAGCAGCAATGGTGGAATTCTCAAAGATTATTTTCTTTTTTTCAAAGACAAAGTGAGGATAATGTAGAAGGTCCATAGAAATCAAAACAAAATGAAAGACACTTAAAGGATGTTACCCTGACCTCTAAAAATTTCCTATAAACTAAAGGATAAGTTATAGGAATCACTGGATACTCAAGCTTTTACTGACCGGAGTCTGTGCCTGAAACAATGAAAGTATATCAGCAGTTTTTATGTCACTTGACACTGAGGCATTTCCCACCAACAAAGTTCATCTTAAAAAATATCCGTGATGTTCTTGCCTTGTTGATTTTCAAGTCTGGTAGCTGTTGAGGGTGCTGGGGATGGGTCCTTGTGCTCAGGCACAACCACCTTTGTCTGATTCAGATGACAATTTTTCCTTTATTTCCTTGGTTCCTTTTTATCCCTTCTTATCAATTTCCAAAGGGAACTTTTAGACAAGAATCCTGGCTCTTTGACCACTCTGCTTACATGTCTACTTCCTCTTTAAGTATGGGAGCTACAGCCTAGTCTCACACTGCCTTTTCTTACATTAGTGTGAATTAAGCTGTTCAGCGTGAGGTCTTTGGGGTCTAAATTTCCTGCCCAACATATAATATCCAAAAATGAATTCCACAAAGAAGACATACCTGCAGTTGGAGTGCCAGTCTGCCACATTCAAAATCAAAAGAAATATTTATGCTGACCTTTCAAGAGTCACTCAGTGGTTTTAGTAACAGGATCCAGTGTGTGGATTAAAGACATTGTTTAGGAAAGAGGACTAAGTTATTAAAAATATTTTTTTAAAAAACCTCAAATGGAGAAAGCCTATATTGTCTTTTGGACCATATTGCTCCCAATAATGGAATTTAATCAAAGGCCTATTTCAATTAGTTAGGACTTATTAGAAACATTACTCTAACATGACAACAGCTGAAGCCAACCCTAACTCTGTGTGTTCAACAGCTGAACACACACCCTAACTTGTGTGTTACACTACACAAGTAGTGTAACTCTACTTGTTACACTATTGTCCAATTCAAGTAAATTAAAAAGAAAGTTCTGAATCACCCAGAGGAATACCAAAATCAGAGTTTTTATCATCACAGTATAGTCAAATATTTATTGTTATTTCTGAATATCTCCTTCATATATAAAATGCTTTATGGTTCTAATTTTGTATGTTAAATGAAAGAAATATGATTAATGTGACTGAACAATAGGAATTTCAGTTTCAGTCTACAAGCCAACATTGCCTAGAAATGTATAGATCTTGCTCCTGGTTATCGAGAAAGTATAAAGTCATCTCTTGAAAATGAAAACAGCAGTTGCCATTCAGAATTGAACATCCTTAATTTCAATTGATTTCCATGAGATTCAAAGTAAATACTTATATTCTGATTGTTAAGTTCCATATTTTACTACTTCTGTGCTATTTTATTTAATTCTAGATTTCTTATCTTCAGTAATCATACAGATAATTTAAAATTTTAGAATCTAAATTATATTAATAAAAATGTATATTTCATTAATAATCCATATTACAGATTTGATAGGATGTGAAAAGTCATGCTCTATGATTCAGAAAGCATTAATTGGATTCACTATGATTTATCAGTATGAAAATGAGAAATTTATTTGAATAACTGATTTATAAATTGATAATTTAAATTTAATAATAGACTCATATATAGTTTTGAAATATTATATTCTAATTTGTTACAAATACAAGCATGCCCTTATCAAGATAAATAAGGTCTTTTAACTTGCTCTTTAAAAGTGCAAAAGAAATTAGCTTTCTCATCCATTCTATTTGACAGAAAGGCCACCTTTGCATATAACCCTCTTTATCATTAATATTAAGTCCATGGTTAGCTCCATCAATCGTATTCTTGCAAACCTCTGCAATGTCATAATCTTTTGCAGCACTAAATACTTGCTAAAAATTGCAATCATTTGGGAATCAACACTCAAAATTAGATAAGAGTGATATCAACTCACAAATCTACTAGCTAGGTTTCTAGTAGAAGTTAAGAAAGAAAATATACAAAATATTGTGGGATATTGCACATCTAGTAAGAGTTTTAATACAGATGGCTCTATAGTTAATTGATATTTTAAATTACTGAATATGAAAATGATTAAAGGCAAAGACTTTTGACTCTCTAGATGTTGCTGAACTAAGTCTCCCAGTTTGCTAAAGGATGGCAATGCACACGTAACAGATTCAAAGATGCATACCAAAATATTGTTTAGAAGAGATGGCAACGTCCAAGATATCTTAGAAGATATTCTGTACTTGCAAGAGTCTAATTCTAGAAAATGAATTAAATTAGCATTTTGATCATTATCTAGTCAGAAAGTTACAGGAACTGAGGGACTATCCACAGAAATATAGCAAGCAACAAAAAAAGAATCAGTAAAGATTCTAACCAAGCTATACCAAAAAAGCTAAAAAACAAGCAGTGGCAAATGAGGTCAATCTATATTAAAGTACTTCCTTCCTTCCTTCCTTTTTTTCTTTCTTTTCTCAAATCAGTTTTTTACTACTGGCCTGAATTAGTCCCTACCATTTTCTTGGCAAGGCGTTTCAGAAGTGGTTTGCTATAGCTTCCTTCCTAGGACTGAAAGAAAGTGATTACCACTTAGCTGGCTTTATGCCTAAGGTGGAACTAGAACTCACAGTCTCCCAGAATACAAAATAATACAGAACAACAGAAGTAGGAAGGGGCTTTGAAAGTCTTCTAGTCCAATACCCTGCTCAAGTAGGAAACCCTATACCCCAGAGTGTCAAACTTGATTTCAATGAGGGCCGCATCAGGGTTGTGTTTGACCTCGGGGGGGGCAGGAGTGGCCATGGCCAGGGTGTGGCAAATTCAACATCCGTTTTCACCCGCGATAGCCTCCTGCAGCTCTCTGTCAACAAAAATGGAGCTCGGGGGAGGGGGGGCTCACAGCCACCTGAGCTCTATTTTTGCTGGCAGAGGCACCACAGGCTTGTCCTTCACTGTTTCCAGGGCAGCCCCCGGGCCAGATTTAAGCACCCCAAAGGCCAGATCCGGCCCATGGACCTTGAGTTTGACACTCCTGCACTATACCATCACAGGCAAATGGTGATCCAATCTCTTCTCCAGTAATGGAATATCCAAAATTTCTAAGGCAAGCCTTTCCACTGATTAATTGCTCTCACTGTCAGGAAATTTCTCCTTGGTACTAGGTTGGATATCGCTTTGATAACTTTAAACCTTATTTTTCTTTTGTTACCCTCAGCTGCTTAGGAAAATAGGTTGTTCCCTTCTTTGTGACAAATATTGGAGGACTGTTATCATGTTATCAGGGGTGGGATTCAGTCAGATCGGACTGGTTCGGGCGAACCGGTGGTTGTGACCTGCAGGTGGCCTGCCCACCCACCCTGGCACTATACCATCCTGTTTGGTTGCGTTTTTAAAGCAGTGTGCATGTGTGCATGTGTGCGTGTGAGCAAAGCGCATGCGCAGAAGGCATGTACGCGAGCGAAGCCAGTGGGCACGTGCTCACATTTTCAGTGCTGGGGCAAACCGGTTGTTAAATTATGTGAAGCCCACCTCTGTGTGTTATCCCTAGTCCTTCTTTTTGTTGACTAGACATACCCAGTTCCTGCAACCATTCATCATATGCTTTAGCCTTTAGACTCCTAATCCTCTTTGTTGCTCTTTTCTGCACCCTTTCTAGAGTCTCATTTTCTGTATCAAGGTGACCAGAATGGGATGCAGTATTCCAGGTGTGTTCTTACCAAGGCAGCATATAGTGGTACTAACACTTCATATTATATGATGGTACTGATAATTCACATGATGTAGCCTAGGACTGCATTGGCTTTTTTGGTGGCTGCCGCACATTAATTCATACTGAAGTGATTGTCCCCTGGGCCCCTAAACTCCTCTCACAGTTACGGCTGTTGAGCCAGTTACCATCTACTCTAGGGTAATGGAGAGAGCACACAGCCCTAAGGGGTGCCTGTGCTAACTGTCCGGATACTTGATGTGATTTTCCCCAGCTTCTTCTATTGTTTTCTATCTGTCAAAAAAGGTACAATCCACCTATTAGAATGGACAAGTATAGCTAGCTGAATCAGTCTGGAATGAAGAATTTCTGGAATGATTGTATTGAGTGCTAAGCTGAAGTCTACAAAAAGGACCCATGCATAGGTTCCTGTGGATTCAAGATGCTGCAAGATGTAGTGCAGTGCCATATTGACAGCATCATCTGCTGATCAATTTGCATGGTAGGCAAACTGCAAGGGATCTAACAGTGGATCTGTATTGATTTTCAAGTTGCCCAACACTAACCTTTCAAAGATCTTCATAATTACAGATGGTCACAGTGACTGGTCTGTACTCATTTAGCTCCTTGATGAACCAGGATAATAGTAGAGCGTTTGAAGCAAGAAGGAACACAACACATCTCCAGTAATTTATTAAAGATGTAGGTTAGTTGATGAGCACAGGCTTTTAAGCCAGAAGAAATTCCTCTGACTGGGCCTGTACTTTTGTCTATGAAATACAGTAAATAGATATAGACTTGAATTCTCAGATTGCAAGCCAATATTGAGCTATTTGGGGGAAAGACTTATTTATTTATTTATTGGTTCGATTTATATGCCGCCCTTTTCTGGAGACTCAGGGCAGCTTACAATGCGTTAAGCAATAGCCTTCATACTTTTGTAAATACCTGCTTAGTAGGGCTTTCGCCCCCCCCCCCCACCTAAGCGGTGTTCTTTTTTATACAGTCAGCTTATTGCCCCCACAACCGGGTCCTCATTTTACCTACCTCGAAAGGATGGAAGGCTGAGTCAACCTTGAGCCTGGTGAGATTTGAACTTGCAGTAATTGCAGGCAGCTGGTGTTACTTAACAGTGCTTTAGTCTGCTGCACCACCAAGGCTCTTATTGGAGTCAATGAGACTTACTTTTGAGGAACTGTTTAGTAGATTATAACTTGAATGGTTTAACATTTACTTCCAAGGAATATGATTGATATATCAATTAGACTATACTATCTCACATCTTTTTATAAGATTACCAGAGGTGGGGGCCCAGATAGATGGAGATAGATGTAGGAAAATTGGCTATTGTTGGTGTATCTGAGATGTGGAGGATAGCAATTGTTGACAGTGACATTAACTTTGAAAATTAACTTTGCTATCCTGTATATTTTAGAGGCAACAGTCAAATTGTATGTTGGGCAAAACAATATAAAAAACCATGGCCATTTACAAAAGCAGGGATCAATGCAGCCATATATGTTGCGGTAACTGGCCAGCTTATATTTGTTTTAGTCTTTTTCTGGAACAAAGGTTGATAACTGATTTTAAAACAGGAAGTAGATTTCTACTGAGACAAGTGTCATTTAATTTATTCATAAAAGATAGAAAGCCAGGTAAAAACACAGTCAAGCTGCAAATAACATCAAAATACTTGAGATGATTAAAAACAGAAAATAATTAAACAAAACCTCAAGCAGGCAAGCACTCTAAAAAGATACCTCAAAACTGAATAAATGAACATTAAATTTTTTTACAGTATTTGGGAAAGGGTCTCTTTCCTGAGGGTTATTTTAGACATCATCCAAATTCCAAATGGCTCACTGTCCTGCAAACGTTGGAACTCATTTTGACCATTTACTGCACTATTTTGACCTGCACTAAAGTTTTCCTTGGCATGCGTTTTTCCATTGCCATTTGCCTGCCAAACGCTAACCTCTCCAATCTGTATCTCTGTATGAGAGCTATCAGAAAATTTTACTAATCCATGAATTAATAAATGACATTTGATCATACAGTATGTTAAAAATAAGTCATCCAATAAATCATTTTGGACTGCAGTAGCTATTTGATCTACTCCCACACATGTATGGAGATTAGATTTCATGTGCTTTGCTCTAAGGAGAGGCTTCAATCTAGCTACTCTTCCATAAAGCCCAGATTGGTGGATGGTTGCAGTGATGGTTGTCTTTCTGGAACTCTGTCCCATTTCCACACAGCATGTCTGGAGCTCAGTCAGAGTGACCATCGGGTTCTTGGTCACTTCTTTTACTAAGGCACTTCTACCCCAATTGCTCAGTTTGACTGGGTGACCAGCTCTTGGAAGAGTCCTGGTTGCACCAAACTTCTTCCATTTGAGAATTATGGGGGCCACCGTGCTCTTAGGAACCTTTGTGCAGCAGAAATTTTATTGTAGCCTTCTCTAGATCTGTGCCTTGCAATAATCCTGTTTTTGAACTCTGCAGGCAGTTCCTTTGACCTCATGGCTTTTGGTCTGCTACAGTATGCATTGTCAGCTGTGATGCCTTCTCTAGAGAGGTGTGTGCCTTTCCAAATCATGTCCAATCAATTTAATTTACCACAGATCAACTCCATTCAAGGTGTAGAAACATGTCAGCAACGATCAAGAGAAATGGGAGACACTAGAGCTAAATTTCACGTGTTGTTGCAAAGGGTCTAAATACTTATGCCAATGTGATCTTTCAGTTTTTTCTTTTTAATAAATTTACAGACATTTCTAAAATTCTGTTTTCACTTTGTCATTATGGAGTACTGAATGTAGATTATTGAGAAAAAATGAATTTCAACAACTGTAGAATCAGCCGGTAGGATAACAAAATTGATAAAAGCGAAGGGTTCTGAATACTTTCTCAATACACTGTAGATAGATAGGCATATAGTATACTAGCAAAGGACTTACAAAAAGGCAGAAGACATTTCTGTCTCCTTGCTTCTGTTATTTTTAAATATAGGAACATTTTTCATATCAACCTGTCTTGATTTATAATAAGGTATATTCTGAAGATTGCTCTTACAGATAAATGAAGCCATTTCCCCCAAGTCCTTCTTATTCAAATTAAAACTGTAATTTTGATTATGTGACAGAGAGAGAGAATATGATATAGTGGATCAGGCTGGAAACAGGGAAATGATGTGTTCTAATCTAGTCCCACCCAAGCCACAAAGCCAGCTTGGTGACCTTTGGCAGTCACTCTCTATTTCAGCCAAAGGAAAAATGCAAACCACTTCTGAAAAACCTTGGTAAGAAAACTGCAGGGACTTGTCCAGGCAATCTCCAAGATTGAATGCAAACACACACACACACACACACACACACACACACACACACACACACACACACACAATGTGTTTGTGTGTCCCTGCGAGCAGGCACAAATCCTTAGAAAGAAATAAGTCTTGGGAAAGAAAGAATTGGCTGGTAAAATCTATCTTAACTATGTCATAATACTTTGCTACCATTGCTGAGTTTTGTTTAGAATAATGTGGCCTTAATGCCCTCATCTCCTGTTGAATTGCTCAGACTGGTAGGAGATTAGAAGGGAGAGAGGTGCCAGTATTATCTGTGTTAGTGCTCCAGAGGTCACATTACACTAACAAGATTGCCCTCCTTCAGAGATGACAGAATGCAGCTGCTTACTTTAGTTGGGCCCTTGGTGGACTATAGAGATGTACATAAAGATGGATATGTTGGAGAATATATTCTTATGGAATAAACAAGAATTCTGGATATTCTGTTGACTCTTTCTGAATATTTGAAAACGTTCAGCAAAAATATGAGTTAATTTTCAGGAATTCATTTATTGTTTTAGCTTATTGTGATCTTTAGGATTCTATGTATTTCATATAAAAAAATAAGAAGAATCCATATTTAATATTTTTAGTTTTTTATTCCCTATTTTTTCAGTGATAAATATCAGTGATATTTAAGGAATGATTTCCACACACTCAGGCATTTGTCTTTCATTTCTTTTTACAACCAAGCATTATTCAATATATTATATTGCTTCCAAACATTATCATTAAACTTATTAGCATATTAATTATATCAATCAAATATAATAAACTACAATCATCTCTGTTTTAATTTGGCACATCATAGTACTTTTTTAGAAAAAAAGCAGTCAGTAAATTACTTGCTTATTTCACTTAAGGGTTTTACATAACTTGTATTTAATGGCCCAAAGTAGAAGTTATAACAGCCAATAGAGGGCACTGAAGCTTTTAAATGGCTGAAAACCAAGCACAAAGAATTTTGCTGAAGTAAACATGTTTTTTTATTAATACATTTCATTACAAAGGCTAATTAAATTTATTCTTAGAATGATTCAGGTAACTTATCTTGAAACTTTTTAAATGCTGATGAAATGACCTGCTGCAATTTTATGCAATAAGTTTGCTATAAGAATGTTAAAAAAGAAAATATCTTTATTTTTATATTTTGTTCTAATAATTACTCAGGTTATATTTATTCCTAATATTTTTGCCAAGCATGATTTTTCAAACAAAACCTACTTTGACAACTGATGTAACATTTAAATAATAGCAGAAATTTGTATATATCAGAGTATATGGCAAAGACAAAAAAGCAATATTTAAATATGAAATACTTCAAGATGCAAAGGAATGAGATTATTGGGATTACCTGCAAAATTATGTTTTGCAGATTATTGCTTAGCTTGAATAAAACAATGGGTTTTACTTTGATAAAAGAATTCTAGAATTGGAAGCAGTTCAGATGGCATGGTTTTCTCTGGTACAATAAAATTAAGATTAATGTAGATTTTAAGAATCTTTATAAGTGCCACATTGTGAATATGGAACAGATATAAACCCAGACTTCCTTTTAAATCTACTGCCATAAACCTGAAAATGCCTTTATGGGTCTTAGCACAAGAAGCATTTTGCAGGAAAGAAAGAATAAGTACAAAAATTGCTAAAATGTATAAATTTTATTGAAATTTAAAACAGAAGAATAAGTGAAAAACTGCATGATAAACTAGGATAAGAACTTTGAACACAATATACTGATGGAGCATGGGGAAAAGAATTGAAATTTACATTATATTATAGTCTAAAAGAGAATTTTTATTAAATGATTTACCATTGGTGTATGACTCCAGAAAAAATATTTAGAATTCATAAAGGTACTTCATTTTTTTTTTTTTTAAGGAATACCTATGTAAAACAAACATCACAAAATTAGAGAAGTCCCACAGAGAAGCATTAAATAGACCAATTACGATGTCCGAGCTGGTGGAAGCAAGGAAAAAGCAAAAAAAACAACAAAGTTCCAGGCCCGGACGGTATACCAACGGAGTTTTATAAGAACTGTCAAAATGCAATGGATGAACTGTTACTCCTGGTTCTCAACGATGCATTATTAGAGGCAGAAATTCCCAAATCCTGGACTGAAACCATCATTACACTTATCCCTAAAGAAGACACAGACCCCACACAAATTAAAAATTATAGGCCGATTTCACTGCTTAATGTAGATTATAAACTCTTCATGTTGGTCATAACGCAAAGACTGAAAACAATTATTCATAAATACATACATACGGATCAGAACGGTTTTGTTCCAAGAAGACAGATCAAAAATAACATAAGAACAATTATTAATGTCCTGGAATATTACGAGAAAAGAAACGATAAACAAGCAGCCTTACTCTTCTTAGACGCACAAAAGGCCTTTGATAATTTAAACTGGAACTTCCTCATATCGCAATTAGAAATTATGGACTTTGGTGCTAAATTTTTACAAATGATTAGAAGAGTATATTCCCTCCAAACGGCCAAAATTATGATCAATGGAGATATGACTGAAAACTTAGATATACAAAAAGGAGTGAGACAAGGCTGCCCCTTATCCACACTATTGTTCATAATCTCTTTGGAAATATTATTAAATGAAGTCAGGAAAGACCCCGAAATAAAAGGTTTGAGAACACGGAAAGAGGAGTACAAATTGCAAGCCTTTGCTGATGACATGGTGTTTATAATGGAGCAACCGGAAACAACAGGAGCCAAACTTTTAGCGAGGATAGAGGAATATGGAAGAGTCGCAGGGCTTAAAATTAACAAACAAAAAACTAAAGTGTTAACAAAGAACTTGACAAAAGTACAAGAGATACAACTAGAAGACAAATTAGGAATACAAATTGTAAAGAGAATAAAGTATTTAGGAATCTGGCTTACTGCCAAAGCAATAACAATCAGAGAAGACAATTACAATAAATTAATGAAACAAATTAGAAAAGACCTGGAAACGTGGAATAAATTACAACTGTCATTCCTAGGGAAAATTGCATCCATAAAAATGAATATACTCCCTAGATTACTTTACCTTTTTCAAGTAGCCCCAATCTGGCCAGGAAAGAATTTCTTTAAGGACCTTACTAAAATAACAACAAAATTTATTTGGAATGGGAAAAGGGCCAGAATTAAAATAAAATGTATGCAAGATACCCGGGAAAAAGGAGGCCTAGGCCTACCGGACTGGGAGCTATATTATAAAGCAGCGTCGCTAAACTGGATAAGGGACTGGATAGATCTTAAGAATAAAAGAATGTTATCACTAGAAGGCTTTGATCTACATCGCGGATGGCATGCCTTTCTCTGGGAGGGAAAGGATAAGCACCATGGGTATTTTCAGCAACATATCATTAGAGAAGCATTGTACAAATCATGGCAAGAGGTTAGGAAACATTACACCAAGATCCCACGATGGCTATCGACAATGGAAGCACAAATATATCCCAATGCTATGGACATAGCGAAAATGAGGACTTATAAAGAACTACTGAACAGTGAAGGAGAATTACAAACAAGACAAGAATTACAAAATCAGGGTATAGACATTGATTGGTGGCCATACATGCAAATAGAATCAAGATACAAAACTGATCGGGCACAATTCGGATTCCAAAATGAACCAAATGAATTGGATAAAATATTACAAAGTGCAGATGAGAAAATGATTACCAAAATTTATAAGTACCTATTACAATACAAATTGGAAGAGGAGGTTGTCAAAGAAAGCATGATAACATGGGCCAAAAACATAGGATATACTATTGAATTGGATAAATGGGAGAATTTGTGGAAGATAAATTATAAGATGACATTGTCCATACCCTACAAAGAAAACCTTTACAAAATGTTCTACCGATGGCACCTCCCACCGGCGTGTCTAGCCAAGATGTTCCCAAATACATCTCCGATGTGCTGGAAATGTAAATCACAGAAAGGGACATATTACCATCTCTGGTGGCTATGCCGAAGGGCAAAACAATACTGGCAACAAATCAAAACAATGATTGAAGAAATTACGAAACAAAAACTTGAAATGAGACCGGAAACCTTTTTATTGGGAATCATCACAGCAAATTATACCAAAGAAATAAAATATCTAATCATTCATATCCTCACAGCAGCACGTATACTCTTTGCCCAACATTGGAAATCTGAACAGTTACCTACAGAAGACAAAATAATAGCTAAAATTACAGAATGCGCAGAATTGGATAAGCTTACAAAAGAAATACAAGAGAAAGATGATACTGATTACTATTTAGTATGGCAAAGATGGTACGGCTGGCTGGAGGCAAAAATAGGAAT